CTCAGCTTTGTCTACGCTTACTAAGCTTACACATTTTTCATCTTTTTCTTTTAAACGTTTTACTCGCATCTTTGGCATAATTTTACTAACGCACGCCTCTATAGAAATAGGGTAACGGGTTACACGAGGGTAAACTTCACGGAACTTTTTTTTTCCCGTAAGCTTGCTGTTTGCCTCGTGTTGGACACAATTTCGGTGTAGAACGAGTCTGAGTCGGGGCATTCTCGTTGCTCTGCCTGGTCGTCCTTCGCTGGAGAGCAAAGAGCAAGCACGTACACGGCGGGCCGGGGGCAGACTTTCCGCTCTGCCTCGCTAGCTTGTAGTCTAGAGAGACCAAATGTGTCCCTTCCCGCAGGGGACGCGCATGAAAACGTAATAAGAGGCAGCGAGGGACAAAAGTCGTCGCAGAACGTTAACTCCATTAGGTCTACGCTAATTGCGTTAGTGTTTGGCCGCGGCGGCGCGCGAGTCGGATTAGCATTTTTACGGCCGGGTTCGGGCAGAAGACGTCCACTTCTCCCGACTTTTTCCCCCCCAATCCGCGACATGTTTTCGCCGGCCGCCGTTTGGTTTTCGGGATATGCTTGTTGTGTTTCGGTCGGTGTTTCTAGTGCCGCTCGCTCTTAGCGACTGTTGGCGAACGACCGAGCAGTGCGTGCATCGGTTAGCGCAACCTGTTGAGGAGAATGGAGTTCGCCCCTTCTGCTTGTTTTCCTCCGTCCCTCGGGACTAGGTTATGTTAGTGCGCCTCTCTTGTCCTGGACGCGAAGAACTCGTGTGGCGAGGACCGACGGTGGCTTTTAGTGCGGGCGTGATCCGGTTTTCGCTCGCTTGGGACGGTGATCAGGGCCTGACTGCGTGGGACGGCTTTACTGTCGACCTACTGGTTTTAACGAGGACACGGGGAGATGCGGGAGGTACTGAAAGATACTGGCCGCGTAGCGGCATCAGTCTGTCAGACTGCGGAAGCGTATGCTGCAACATGTATAGCCTGCATCGTTAACGCGGTTCGCTGTGCCCGATAGTTTTCTTGCCACGTCACATGGCGTCTTAGGGGCTGTGACACAGCAGGTGCCGTGCACGGCATTTGCTGTACCGGAAGTGGAGGTTTTTATTTTTTTCCCCTTTCTGGTTTTAATTTGCTTTATGGCGGTTCTTTTTGTTTGTTTTTTCTTGCCCGGGGGGGGGGGGGGGGGGGGCGGAGGGGGCGTCTCTGCTTTTGTCATTGGACAGAGGCTTGGAGTGTGCTCATCACGTGGGTCCGGACATCTACTAGCACGCTTTGCTGGCTGTCGTCAAGGCCTCCGCTATTGTTTTCGGTCCCCAATATCACTATAACAGTGGGAGGCGACAGCGACGAGGAACTCCAGGCTCTCAGCGTGGTTGAAGCCCTCGCTGAAAACGTACGCGTGCGCGGCGAAGCGTTCACGTATTCTTAGAGGCGTGCGCGTTCTTTTCGCCGTCCACGACATTTGATGTGTCCTGTTTGGACAGCCGTTTAACCTTTGTCGATGTGATTTGCATAATAACGAATATGCTCGTGCCCTGCGCTTTATTGGTCGGCACATGTTCCATCACTTTTTCCTAAGAAAGTCTGGATGAAAAGGGAGCTGACGTCTTTACAATTACCCGATTTAGACAAATTTTTTTATTGTTATTCTGGCTTGCATTTGTTTTCTGTTTTCTTCTGTACTCCGGTCTATTTTCGAAATGTGATTCGATCCACGTCGAGCCGTAATCGGAAGTACTTTCAGCCGTCTCTGCGCAATACCTTAGGGATATTGCGAGGTCTTATACCGTTCTAGTCTGCAGATCGGTTCAATGTCTCAAGATTAGCGTTCATTTCAATTTGGTTGCTGAATCGCTTTCGCTTCGCCTCTCACTTCCCGGATCCGTCGCGGTCTTGTGGTTTCGTTCGACTTGTGTTCGCATATCCGTCCGCGGGCAGATTGGAGACGGTTTCGGGCGGGGCGCTTCCAACGACGGCGGTTAGTCGCGCGTAAACTCGGCTCGTAAAAATTATTGTTATCGATCGTCGAACGGGCTCGGATGTCGGCTCTCTGACAACTCAAGCGAAATGAAAGCATTCAGCGGAGAGCGACGACGACCGGTATTCGGGAGAAAGACGGGAACCTTCTTTCGAACGTCATACGCGCGGCTGCAGAAAACGACGATCCGGCAGGAGAATCCAGCAGAATCTCATTACCTTAAGAATGGGCTCTCTTTATTCTTTATTTAGTTTTTTTTTTTTTTTTAACGTTTTAGTCGGGGTCGGCAATGCGACTCGCATTTGATTACTTTGCGCAAGTTTCCTCATCCATTCCTTTGCTTTCCATATTCTTTTTTTGCCATTCTGAACCGTCAAGAGCAGGGTCACTTGTTTAGAATTGCACGTGGCAGGGCAGAAAAAGGAGGAACCGGTTGCTTTTTCGGGCGGCGCCCCCACCCGATATGCAGTTTATGGTTAATTTTGCAGTTATTCTTGTTGATGTCCGTAATTTATAATCATCACGAGCCTTTTTTTTTTCTTTTTTCCGTTGTGATTACATTTTATTTGTATCTAACAAAATTTTCAGGCTTTTTATTTTGCACTATGATTAAACGTAATTTCTATTTAGCAAAATTTATATTTATGCGTCCCTTATAAATGATCCGTAGCGTGTTTCTGTCTAATAAAACACGGTGAGGCCGGCGAGGTTAGGGTCAAATTGTTATTGTAATTATTTTTATTTCCATCTGGCTCTTTTCTCAGTGTTTATACTGGGCAATTTTTGCAGATCGTGTATTCGAAGGACGATATTGGGAGCTCGGAATGCTATCTCCGAGGCCGGCTCTCAATCACGCGTCCAAAGCTGTGTCCGGCCTCCGGAAACGATTTGTACGGTCTGCGTAGCTCTAGGCGCCCGTTGGCGGGAAGAACGGAACATTCAAACTAAAATATACAGGTTCAAAGTTGTGTGCGGGAATGTAAATGCTAGGGCCCATAATATGAGCTGAGATAACGAAACGACTTGTTGGCATTTGTGATTGTAGCGGTATTATTATAACTTCCAGCGCGACGTGTGCGAGCACTGCAGAACCGAGCGTACCAAAAGCGCCATTAATTCGGACCTGGTGGCGTTCAAATTGTTGGCGGGGTACATCAGTCGGCGTTCAGGTCAGAGGATGTCAGGGTCGTTCGGACTCTTATGCGTTTCATTCTCCTACTCTCGGTGATCTGACCCCCCCCCCCCCCCCCCCCCCCGCGCTCTCGTCTCCTCTCCCTCGCTTTCGCTGCTCATTGGTCTTTTTTTCTTTCTTTTTCTTTTTTCTTTTTTTTTTTTTTGTAATGGCCACCGGTTGATTTTGAGGTAGCTGATACGGGGCAAAATAGAAAATCACTTTATTTGTCATTTAAAAAGAGCTAGAATTCAAGGGACTGTTGCCCATAGTTATACTTTTTCTGTGGCTATACTTTTTTTTTATTGTCGTTATGCTTGGACAGTTTTCTGCAGTTTTTGTCGTCCAACCCAACTACGCCATATTTTAACGTGCCAACTGTCACGCGAAAACTGTCTATTAGCGCGCGCCCGAGCTGCCTATGCCGACAGCGTCTTCACGACTAGACGGCAAAATTAAGGATTCCAGAGAAAAAAGAAATGTGTGTGTGTCTTGTTACCAAGCTGCGGGTGTTTTCCGCTGGGTGCGTCTGCTCTGACGTGACGGACGCTGGATGGAACACGGCGCCAGATGCCTCTCCGCTTCAGCGCGTTCGTAAAGCAGTTCTTGTCACCGTTGAGGCACGGAACTAGGATCAGTGCAGACGCACTGTCTAAACGACAGCCGTATACTGGAAGTACCAAGCTCTAAATTACACTACACACTCAAACAACGACTTTAAAAACAAGCATGTCTTCCGTATAGAAACATGGGGAAACCGGGTCCGCGACAGGCTATCACTATTCGGTTATCAAAGAGTCATTGGTGCGCGCTTTGTCCACGCCTATACTATGCCTTTTCCATAAGGACGGTGCCATCATGAATTTCGCCACTTCTGGTATGAGCGAAAACATACTAAAATCCGGTTTCGTTGGAGCCGACGCAGTTGTCGAAGTTCCCCTCTGTCGGACTCGACGCAAGTGTGTGAATCGCCCATTAAAGTGTGTTCGCTTCGGAAGAGGCGGAGGGAGGAGGAGTTGTCGTTACTTTCCTTGGTCGTAAGCTTTACGTAGGCGCTCCAGTTCAGCGGCTGTTCTATTTTTGTCATCACTCCCCGCTTGGCCGACCAACTGTTGTCCGTCAACGCGGCTGTCGGCGCTGACACTTCGTCCTCTGGCAGCACGAACTGAAGGAGTTTCGCGCACGTATACGGATGGCGGAATGATTTATGCGCCGAAACAAACGGCACTCGATGATACAGAAACCGGAAGCCGGCTCCTGTTTATTGCCCCGGACCTTATCACAAAACGCACAAACACTGAATACTCAGCTGGGCACCTTGATAGCACGAACTGCGATCGCTGTCGCCTTTTGTGACGGAACGCCGCAAACTTCTAAAACCAGCGCCGAAATCAGCGTTACCTGAGCAGCAATTGGCTTACCAACTAAAGAGCAGCGCTAAAACTGGAACAGCTGCTGAAATGCCGTTCGTCCGCATACTACCCTTGTCACACCGAAGCTCGCTTCTGTTATCACTAGTGGTCTTCGAAGTCACTGGGTTGCGTGACGTTGTCGTCCGCGAGACTATGGAAAAAATGGGCAAAACAGTGCAAAAGTTTTAGGAGAAAGGCAAAAGCTTTTACAGTACAATGTGCTGCCTTGTGTTGTTTGTTCCTGCGCTGTCCTTGTATTGTCCTTGATTGTGTTTCCTCGTTTAATTTACCATAGTGAATAAACTTGTTTCGCCTCGTTGCGGTCCAATGCAAATAGAAGGGTTCGAGATTGCATAGGGCACGGTTCGCCGGGTCTGATTTTTCGCCGTTCCGGTCGTCGGCCTAACCGTGACGCCTCTGTGTGTGCAGTTGCGAGACCTCCGCCTGGACTGCTGCGCCGCCGTCTCCTCAAGACGTTGTGGGCTCCTCAAGCAAGCCCGCCCGCCCCACCCTCCCCTGGCAGCACTCTCCGAGTGAGTGCCCCTGACTCTTCCGCGGTTCTCCTACCCCGTCCGCGGAAGGCCGCCACCGGGTGCCTCCGCGCGCGCTTTGCTTAGGGTGGTGCCTCCGCTCTTCCTGGTACCACTTGCGCACCAACCATTCTCCTTAGTATCGTTTCCTCCGCTGTTTCCCTCTGTCATCTTTTTTCGCGACAAGAATAGTCGTTTGGTCGTGTTTGCGATAACGTGTCCGTCAAACAACTGCGTGTCACCGGCCGAACGAACCAACAGCCACCAAATCACAAGGCGGGAGGGCCCAATTTTAACGTCACCGTAAGGGGCGAATGCAGGATGGATACGAGCGTTGCGACAGCGTTCGGCTCAGACTCGTGTCCAGTCTGTGAGGTCCGAGCCGACCGCTGACTCGGCGCACGTGTCCGTGCCAGCGTTGCCTCTTTAGGTGACGTAGAATGATCAGCCCTACTGTCTTGTTATCTGGGAGGGGCTGTACGAGCTTAGAGATAGAGTAGTTTCTGTAGTCGACCACCGGCAGTCGCACGGTGACCTTAGATTACGGGTTTGTCATTCGAGATGCGAGAGGTAATGGGAGCACCTCTTGTGTCTCTTCATCGTACATTTCGCGATGTATTCCACTATGTGGAACTTCCTTAATTTTCAACTTTTAATTGGTAGGAGGAGCTACGTTCCATCGCGGAGCGAATAAATGTTGAACCGCATGTAAGGTTTTTAGAGAGCGACGAGACGAGCGGCGGTGGCAGCGATTACAGTCAGCGACGAGCGACGGAGATTTCTCGCTGTCGCTGATCGCGTCGCTCGGTTTTTGGATTTCTAGAAAACGTCGTTTGCTGTCGTCGCTTTCGTGCGGTTTGCCTCGCCGCTCGATTAACCGAGCGACAGGGAAGCCGGTCGCCGTCGCTTGTCTCGCCGCTCGCCAAATCGCTTACGTGCGATATATACTTTATAGTTTCACGCGTATTTCTGTATTGCTTTTTTACTATCCTCTACAACCCGACTTGCCCTGTCGCTGAACCAAACGCACAGAATTTGCATAGTTTTTTTGCATGCAAGTCGATCGTTTTAGTTTTAAAAGTAGACTGACTGAGCATTACCGTGAATTGTATACCTGAATCTTTTATGAGAGGCGAGCACGCGCTTTTCGCACAATACTCCGTTCACCCTTCAAGGGGCCATGAAACGATTTTTCTACTTTCGCTAAATACTAGTTACAATCAGTCCCTAACGTTAATAAGTCAATAAAATTGAGTTGGTTTCTCTTTCTAGGCAATGGCAGTCGCCAATCAAATTCGAGAAATATGAGCATCGTTCGTCCCCTTAACTCGAAGACAGAACAAGCGTATCCTATGCGGCCAACGCTAATCGTATCCTATTCTATGCCGCCAACACTAATAATAGCCACTCGCTGGGGTCAGCAAAGAAGAAAACGCGTGCTAAGCTCCAGGCATCGTTAGAGTTCGGCTATTCACATCACCGCAGTGGTTGGACACGGCCCACTACCCGAGTGTCCGCCGAGGCATCCATTGTTACGAGCCGAAGTCGAGTGCTCACGCAGTGTTCTCGTGTCCAATCCATGAGCCGCGCTCGACTGTCGTCCGGCGAGTGGTTTCGACCCCAGAATGACGTCACCAAGCTCTGCGATCGCAGGACTGAAAGAAACGGTCCCCTTTCATCCTCGCAACTTCACCGCGACCAGGAGACGCTTCTGAATCAGCGGCGGTCCGTGCGAGTTAACTTGGGCCAGACTATAGACCAGTACGACTCTGCAACGTTGCAAACGCTGGCTTCCGCAGTGCTTTGGTTGCGTGTGCCGGAGCGTTCACACTTGCGTTAGCAAGGGCAGAAAGCTCGCGCTGAAGGCGCTCCGCCTTCAGCGCGTATCTAGTATCACCAGTATAGTGTTGGAGGCTATGCGTGGCTAGAGCGAAACTGAGTTCGCATTCGATTCTCCCGTGATGTTATTGTGGCGCAGTTTGCGGCCAGGATCATCTGCTAATTGCTCAGGTGATCGTTCTTGGCTGCTATGCAGCGGATGTGCGAGGCTTAATGGTGATAACGAAAGCCAGTTGAGCGTTTCAATGCCGAACCACTTATTTAGCATCTGCAAGAAGGAATTAATATCCAGCGTCGGTAGCTGCTCCCAGCATTTTTCTTGCAACAGAACATGATACAAAAGTTCATATGCCGCTTCCATAACTGTTATATATGTATATAATGAATCAACTGCAATATTTTGGCGACACCCTTTTCAGTGTCGAGATTTTATGTGAATAATTGAGTATTAGTAAAATATTTGTATGGGCTGCTTTATAGGTTTATTTTTTTATGTTAACACTCTTGTTTAGTTATTACCGTTATATGCCTTGAGATATGAATAAATTAAAACCAAATTAACCGAAGGAGTGAATGGAAGCTTGGGGACAATCTTAACGAGTTCGGTGGCTTTGTTTGTAGGAAAGCGTATTTATTTCACCTATCGATATTTATTTATGCAAGTTCTACATATAAAATGTTATTGATGTTCCTAAGCAGATACAAACACTCCCTTAAAATTTGAACAAAACGTCGATTTGGGTGCTGTGATCTTTTTCGATTTTAGTGTTATATACTATTCGCTTTACCCCTGATTTTGAGCCAGTAAGAACTATGCACTGCAGTTCATACTGTCCTTCATAAATCAACATGTTGTTGCCTCGTATTGCGCTTCTACGCACAACTAAGCAGCTTATTCTGTGTTCGAGCGAATCAAACCTGGCATGCTAGGGATGCTAACAACAAAAGTGGTAACTGAAAGTAAACATTGTTTTTTTTTTCGGTTTAACAGGCCAACACACGCATCTTAACATTATATTTACAGTGATATGAATGATAAATAACTGTGTGCTTATGCTCCAAAAGTTGGTTATGCTGCTCCAAAATGGACCTTCGGCTTTTCCAGAAAATGCTCCAAAACGACTCGGACCAATCACACTGCTCTTCACGTGCGAAATAAGTATTTCGCTCGCCACGTGCGAAATAACTGAGGAAGTAGTCGATAATGGCAGCATATGGCAGGCTGTTTACAGAATGATCGAAGGAGCGACTCGCCCATGCTTCACTCATGCATTGGGCATTACGTAGACGACTAGCAACAAGCGGTTGTAGGCGCGTGCCCCCTGTCCCGCGTTGGTTTCGCCCATTTTTGGATGCGTTGTCGGTGTCGTTCGAGCGTTTACGCCCCCGCTTCATCTGTCCACGCCAGCCGAATGGGCTGGTGGTGGTTCTCCGCACGACCGTGTGCGAGCATTGAAAAGGGGGAGGAAGCGTTGATGGGGGAACCCGTGTCGCTCTCGGGGCCCCGCTTACAGGTCGGCGTGCGCGCGGTCGCTGGCGTGATTGTGCGCTCCTGCGGGCCGGGAACGCGCGCAGGTGAGCGCTGCTCGCTCCGCGCTCGACGGGTCGGGCCGCTGTGGTGCGCAGCATTAATTAACCTTTGGTCGGCGAGGGGTCGATCGACGCCCGCCCTGTCCCAGCTGATGGCCTGCCCCTTCTCCATCTGCGTACTTCGAATTCCCGTTGCAAAGCGAGTTGATTTGGGGCACACCCCATTTCCTGTCCGAACATATATTGTGCGCGTGATGTCTATCGATGCACGCGCAAGATTTTATACCTGGTGATGTTTAGAAGAGTGCCTGTTAGGTATGTCCAGGTATTAGCGAGTCGCGCCTGATCTGACAAAAATGTGTGCCTGCAACGCAACTCCCTAAGTAAAAAAAGGACTGTGCTATATATATATATATATATATATATATATATATATATATATATATATATATATATATATATATATATTAATTTCGTGGCCATTGATGCTTAATTTTTTATTAGAGCGTCTGCAGTGATGTTCCCTTCAAGGCCGGTTCTTACATGCAGCGAAGCGCAGATGTAGTGCTGCTCACCTGTCGTCAGCTACTTATCGTCTGCCAAGAGCAACAGTTTTGGCGGTGCGATACAAAGCTGGTGAATGCTCCCGTCAACACGCGCTTACTGCGTGGTCAGAGCAGCAAGCGCTGACCACGATATAACCTTGAATTCACACATGCGCTCCGCTGCATGTGTGAATTCAAGCCTTCATTCTCCCACTTTTATATATATATATATATATAGTCTCGTTTCTTTCTCAATGTGCCGGTAGTGGGGCTCATGGAAGTGTCAAACTTGTCAAGTTGGAAAACATATACGAGTAAAAGGCTGCAATCAGACGCGAATCTGTACAATCGGGAATACAGTGTTCTCTTTTGTTCGTGTGCGTGCGTGCGTGCGTGCGTGCTTGCGTGCGTGCGTACTTGCGTGCGTGCATGTGTGTGTGTGTGTGTGCGCGCGCATGTGTGTTTGTTTGTTTTTGTTTTTTGTGGCTAATGGGAGGGGGTAAGGGAGAAATTCAGACAGCATGGCAGCTTTTCACATAACACAGCATCGCAATTGTAGGCTAGATGAGGAAGATATTTCTTTACATGCGCTGACCCCTTGCACGCCGCTGCGCTGACGTTTCCTTCTGCCTGACTTTTATGGGCGCTTCGCGTTTCGCCGTCGTCGGAAGGTTCGAGGCTACACCTTTTGGCAGGGATTCGAGCAGCAGCGTTTCCTGGCGGAGCCGGTATTCGCTATATTTTGTCGACGCTACCCCGTTTACTCGAGTAGGCATGGATTGTCTTCGTGAACCGTGACACTTGCGTGAACTATATATGAATGTTGGTATCGATACCTGTCTTTCTTTGCTGATAGACAGACACTCGCAAGTTGGGAGCTGTTTTTTTCCCCTCATTTTTTCATTGTGTTTTTTACTTCGTCTCGTAAGAAAAGTTAATGAATCGTAATAGGGGTTCAAATTTACTTGAAATACCGCGTTTTTCTTAGCCGTATGCACTACACAGACCGGTCGATAATCATGCCATCATTGAGGGCGTGTTCTGGTTGTATATTTAAGAATGAAACCAGTGTTTCAGCAGAAGCGACAT